TAATTTATACTTTCCCGTTTTTGTATCACCGTTTCCAAATAATTGAGTGTAAAAAACAGAAAATTCTTCAATAAATAAATTTACTTTACTTTCTTTTAAAATTTTTTTCTAATTTTTTGCACCTGTCACTAACAAAAAAAACTCTTCAAAAAATTACTTTTAAACAATAAATATATTTAAATAGTATATACATTTGCATTTTTTAACTTTTTGTGACGGCCAAAAAATGGATTAGCAGTAAAATTGAGAGAGCTACTAACTCTCTCCAACGGACATTTTTGAATTGGACGAAAAAAGACGAGGGGGAAAGACCTCCTCCTTTCCTCTTCTGTCCACTCTTTTATTTAATTTTTGCTTTTTCATCGGCTTTGAAATAAAAAAATATTTTTTTTCAATTCCCATATCTCTAAGTTTTTATTTTTGTTTTTTAATTTAGTTAAAAGTAGAGTTGATCAAGACGAGACCGATACCGAGACCGATACCGAGATTCTCGGCTTTTTTCCAATATCGGTCTCGGTTTTTTCATTCTCGGTCTCGAAACCGATACCGATATTCTCGGTCCATTTCTCGGCGAGAAACGATACTGACTCAAAGAAACAAGATTCTCTATATTGTCCAAGTTATCGTCCATAACAGAGAAAGTGAATTTTTTTCGAATACGGTCTTCTAAAATTCAAAAAATTTTCGCCTGCGCCGCTGAAAAAGGAAGAAATTTTGTGACTTTGCCTTCCAAAATTTAATAAATTTTCGTCTGCTGCGCTGAAATGTTGAATTTTCCGAGCCCTCGGCCGTTAGATTTTCAAGATTTTGATTACAGAGCCTTCCGATTTTCGGCAAATGTTATTCCCACCTGTGGATTAAGGGGATTTAAAATGATCGGAAGCAGGGATGAGCGCATTGAGTTTGCGTATCTGAGGGCAAAACTTGGAAGAAATCTGGCTTCATGGCCTTCTAAAATTCTCAATTTTTGTCTGCGGCGCTGAAAATAGGAAGAATTCTGGCTTTCTGGCCTTCCAAAACTACAAATTTTCGCCTGCGGCGCTTAAAATTAGAAAAATTGTTGACTTGCACTTCTAAAATTCTCAAAATTTTTGCCTCCGGCGCTGAAATCAATTGTTTGGTTAACCGAAATTTTCACTTCGCGCGGATACCCGCGGATGGACATGCCCTAAAAGTTGTACGGATATAAACGGATACGGATGACGACCTCACGGATATACCTATTCGGATAAGGACACAAAAATTTGTATCCATTGCCAAGCCTGATCGGATCCAGACGATGAAGAGTATTTATCTTATGATTTGGATGATGAAAATAATGAATAAATTATTTTTACACGTAATTTTTGACATAAAATAAAAATTCTGTTAGTCTCGGTCAGTATCGTTTCTCGGTATCGGTCTCGGCTCAAAATGTTGGTATCGGTCTCGGTATCGGGTTCTTGAGTATCGGTCAATCTCGGTCTCGGGTTGGCCGATACTAGTATCGTTTTGATCAACTCTAGTTAAAAGTACTTTAAGTTAATTTTTTAAATGAAATTGTATATTTATTTCGAAATCTGGATATAACAACAATAATAATAAACTCAGGAGTTTGGCTTAGACTGAGTTTAATGAATGATTTATCCAACCCTTTATCCTCCACCTTTTAAATGTTCAGAGAATAATCGGTAAAGAATAATTCCCCGTTCAATCTATGTAGGTACTACCGTATTTTCTCTAAAATCTGTCCTCTCTTTAGCCTTCTTCTACTAGAAGTCGATCGAAAAAATAGCCTCGGGGCTATTTTAAAGAAAATTAGAGGTATTTAAATACCTAAAATATTTAAATATACAAAAAATCCTTTAAATATCCACAGCTGCCTTTAAATTCCTCAAATTCTTCCTTTTAATTTTTCCATTTATTCTCCCATTTGTTGTTTTCTTAAAATGCCATTTTCTTTGTCCAGCCGGAGCCTAAAACAAAAATGTAAAAATGCCAATCTCTTTTTATTTTCCCATCTGCCAAAACATTCTCTCCCTCTCTCTCTTTCCTTCATTTACATAAACAAAAGCTTTTATTTTTAAAGGAAGATGTAATGAACGAAAATTTATGTAAAAGATATTTTGAAGTCTAGAAAATTATTTAAATTTGTCGTCAATTTTTCCTTATTTTCTTAATAATCCCTAGTAGAATGTCCACATACTTAGAATTGTTTCTATTGAAATCCTTCTCTTCTTATTTCTGTTAAATCACATTTTATCACCCCAACCCATTTTTAACCGATTGATCCTTTAAATCCCTACTATATTTTTAATATAAATATTCTTCACCCAGATAAAAATATTTTTCCAACAGATTCAGACATAAATCAACCCGATAACAGTGAAAAACACCAAATAACTTATCGGTTATAATTTATTAGATTTTCTTTTAATGAGTGATCAGATTTGATCTATCCTATTAGAAAAAAGATGTAGAGCTTATCGAGTGCTTTTGAATGATATTAAATTCATTTGATTGAATCAAGCTTCATAAATTTATAGCTGTTCAAAGTCGGCTGTCACTCAGTTTGTGGTCTTATAACGGAAAAGTACCAAATTATTTATTTTGTTCAAATGGGCAAATCAAAATAAATTTATTATTTTTATTCCAAAAATTTAAAACCATTTAATTTTTAGTACATATATTTTTTTCTGCTTTTATCTTTAGATTAAAGAAATCTGAGAAGATTGTCTTTAAATTTCTGTATAGAATTAAATATTTAAAACCACAAATAAATAAATTTTAAAGAAATGTTTAAGCACCTGTCCTCTTTTCTTTTATTTACCTGGCCAATTAATGACCACCCAACTTCCCAAACATTTCTTCAAACAAAAATTTTCCTCGTTTTCCTCGACTACTTTTCTCCAACTTATATATTTTAGTAGCCTCCCCCCAATTGTCAATCATTTCTTTTATTTTATATTTATTTATTTAGTTGTTTAGTCAATATTGTGTTTAAAATAATAGAGAAATAATTTAAAAATTCTGATCGAAATTACAAAAATTTTTAAATTTTCTAGCCCAAGCAGCTCAAATTTCCCTCAATCTTCGTCCTTTTTCTTTCTCCTTCCCAGAACTCGTTGAAAGAAATTCCTCGGGGACTAAGCTTAAATTCTCTTATTTTATTAAAATCCTCTCAACAACTTCTAGCATTCCCAATTCCCAACAAAGATTACCCCCCCCCCCCCCCCCCCCTCCTCCTCCCCCTCCTCCCCCTCACCCCCCCCCCTCCCCTCCTTTCCTCACAAAATATTCATTCTTTATTGTTCTTTTACAGCAAAAACATTAATTTTTAATTTTTCCATTTTCCATTTCTAAAAATAAAAGATTACATATTTTGACTGACTTTACAAATAAAGTTTTTTAAAGCATAGAAAGCAACACACAAAACCCAAAAGAATCATTTCATTGCTTTTTTCTTTATTTTTAAAAAAGCTGGGAAAGTGTAAAAAAGTGCAAAAAACGTGAATAATATTTTTAGTTTAACATTTAATATATTAATTTTTAAATTTAATTAAATAAGAAAAGGATAAGCTAGTAAATGCTGAAATAATTACGCTCTCTCAAATAATTACCCTATCTAATAATTACCCCCGAGCTTTTTTACGCAAACTTTAAAGATATTTAAAAAATTATGATTAAATTTAATTATCAGAACATTTTAATAATATCAAAAAATAAATCAATTTCGCCTCAATTAGATTTAGATATATCCTAAATCCAACACATCCTCTTTAATAATTACCCCCTCCAACGAGAGGTTGAAACAATAATTACCCAGGGTAATTATTTCAGAATTTACGGTATTTTGATAAAAATATTTATTTTTAATCTTTAATTACCAGATTTTATTAAAAATTATTTAATGAAAGGGAGATTTTTTTCTAAATAATTCTTTAATTAAATAATAAAAGACATCCCTTAAAATTTTGCAAAAATACTAATAATTATATATAAATAGTTATCAATAGCTCATAATTTTAGCTAAATCCATCATTTTATTTTTTAACTCCACAATATAGCTTAAATTAAGTTTAGCTTTTAAATTGATTTTTGATTGATTAATACTTTTAAAAAAATTTATTTATTTTTATTTTTCCACATATGTATGTTTTTAATACTCGACCTTCACCAATGTCGAGTAATAAAAAAAGTAAGGAAAAATAAAATAAAACAAAAAATGTCCTTCTGGTTTTTATTTTTAATTGGGAATAGAAAGAAATAGAAAAGGTTTTCTCGATTGGATAAAATAAATAAAAATATTTTTTGGTTTTTTATTATTTGAATTAAAATTTAATTTGTGTTGACAAATACCGTAAAACTTATTAACTACCCTGAGTAATTATTCTTTCGACCTTCCGCTGGAGGGAGTAATTAATCGAGGGAGGGTAATTATAAAAGGTTTCAAATTTAAAGTGTTTTAGGGCATTTGAAAGGGGGTAATTATTATTTCATTTATCGCTGGATTGGATAATTAATAGAGGCGGGGTAATTATTTGAGGAAGGGCAATTAATACAGGTTATACGGTACCTAATATATGTATAATAATAACGTATAATTAAAAACAATCCAAACATTCCCAGAAAAGATTTCTAAGATTGGAAGAGGAATTGAGTCCATGAGAGCCTCCTAAATTAAAACCGATTAATCTTCCTACCACAAACTAATGTTTCAATTTTTGTTTTTTTAATTAATAAAATATGAGGATATTTTGAATGTAAATATTAATTAATTTAATAATTAAATATTTTTATAAAAATATTTTTTAAATTCGCAACCCACTTTATATTTAATTTTGTTTTATTATTCTTCAATTTTACTTTTCAGGAAATATTGATTTTATTTACATAAAAAGTGCTTTTTATTACACAAAATTATTCAATATTTTTATTTATTTTTGGAAAATTACATAAATTGTAATAATTGAAAAAAAATTAAATTAAAATTAAAAATGTAAATAATTAATTAACTAAAAAATGCCCTCCTCTACTCGAATAAAACAACAAAAAATAGAGAATTTATCAGATAAACAAAATTCTTCCCCATCCCAAACAGAAGAAAATTTATCTGTTGATGGAAGTTCTTCTTCTTCTAGTAATGTTTTTGTAGCGTTATATGATTTTCAGGGGATTGGAGAAGAAAAATTGGCTTTAAAAAAGGGAGATAAGGTTTATTTTTTAAATTATTTTTTATAGAATTTTAAATTATAAAATATAGATTAGTTAAGGATGGATAAATAAAGTATTAAAATTTTTATAAAAATTAGTATTAAATTTAAAAAATTTTTAAATTGTCCATAAAATAGCATTTTAATTTAAAAAACCTTTAATATTCAGTTAATCTTATATAAAATTTTTAAATTAAAAAAATAAAGCTTTATTTATTTTTAAAAATGAAATTATGTAAAAAATTAATTTTAAACATTAATGAACTAGGTTCAGTTCACTATCAATCGGTTCAGCCTTGGAAATAACTATAGTTCAGTTCAGAAAACAAATATTTATTCAGAGCGTTAAAAGTTTATAATTATTTTATATTGAATTCAAAATAAGTTAAAGAGTTAAATTGCGGGGGAGTATTTATAGGGATTCTTACACAAACATAAATTGTTATTGAGAATAGCTAGGTCAAAAATTAATTATATAAAAGTGAATAACAAAATATATGATAAGGGGTTTTGGGTAAATATTTAGTCGGGAAAACTCAGTAAACCTTTTATAAAATTGGAAGGTCAAGAGTTTATCATTTATTTATTTATTTTTATATTTTGGGAAAAAGATATTTTTTTTTAATTTATTTATTTGCTTATGCGAATGCAGCATTCCTTCCCCCTTAATTAAGATGACGTCCACGTCATGCTTATTAAAGTAAACGGAGGAGATTATATTTTAATTTATTTATTTGCTACAAATCGCTTCATGTAAAAAATTTTATTTTAGAAGCCATTTAAGGTTCTATTTTAGCTTTTTTTAAATCGAGGGATTTTTTTTTTAAATTTTTTTTTTTAAATTCTCCTCTTGTATTATTTTTTTTATTTTGTTTAATTTTATATTTCTCCAATTATGGGATTGGAATTTTTTGTCACTTTTCTCCGACAAGAGTTTAAAGGGGTATAGAAAAATTTTTAACTTTGATTACAGACTGAAATGTTTCAGAAAATTAAAGGTGAAATTATTTAGGGAATTTAAGTGATTATTTTAAAAGGAAATTGGGGTAGGGAAAATTTTAATTTTTTAATGTCCATTTTTAAATTAATGCTGAGCACCATTTCTTATCTTCTTTTTACCCTCTGGCATTTGTCCATTTACTTTCCGATTCCATTCCTTGTTTGCTTTTGTGCGTCCTGTCCGTTGTTTTGACGTTGGCAGGCTTATCTTTTGGTGATGGATGTAGTCTTTCTCCGATGGTCCTGCTGTCTTTGTCGATTCTCCCATGTTAAAATTAGGGGGTCTTATCACAAGTTTGTCCTCAACCCACTTTTTTCTTACTTTTTTATTTGTGGGACTGTTTTTCTGATAAGTATGTTTTGCGCTTGGGTTTGTTAAGTTTGTGTCTATTCTCAAGCCACAATTTTTTAGTGAATTATTATTTTTATTTATTTCGTGATTGTTTTTAAATTCAATATTTTCCATTAATTTTATTTTCGCCTTTTCGATATTATGATAATTTCTTATTAATGTTTTCGCGATTAATTTACCCGTTTGTAAATCCAGGAATAATGGAAGGCTTTTCAGGGTTTCTCTTCCAATAATTACATCATATTTTCCTGTTTTACTAATTTCATTTTCCAATATTACAATCTGCGTTAAAATTTCACACCCGGCTATTTGAAAAATTATTTCTCCTTGGCCAAGCGTGGGTACAATTTTATTTCCTATACCAATTATGGCGCTTAGTTCAGCAGGAAAAATCTCATTTATTTCTAATTTTTCTGCGGTTTCTTTACCAGTCAGGGATACATGTGCTCCTGAATCTAATAGGCAAATTATTTCTTTTCCATTTATTTTAGTTTTTATTCTGAACCATTCATCGCATGTATTGTCATACCCAGGTGCGATTTCTGCTACATTAATTTCTTTCTCTAGATCTTGTTTGTTTCGCAAAGTTTGCTTTAAAATAAACGTCAGTAAACATAGTATAGTACTAGCAAATAGAAAGGCGAGAAATATCCAAATTTGATTTAATATGAGTAAGCTCGCGAAGTTTGCGGAAAATATGTTCTCTTTGGGCAATTCTGTCATTTTCCAATTGTCGATTGTTTTCTCTTTAAAGGTAACGGGTGAGTATACGGGACAATTCATTTCAATTTGTGGTCCATGGCTAGCCAAAGCGGGACTTATAATAGCAATAAGTGCAAAAATTGTTAGCAAATAAGGGCTAGATATCCTTAATGGACTTGCAACTCGGCTTTCACTGAATCTCACTTTTCTTGTGGGTGACCGGCTATAATTATTTGGTGAATTTTCTCTATAATTTTCGCGATTTCTATCATTATATCTGCGGTTATCTCTATTATATTCATTTCTATAATTATTTCTGTTTTCCCAATAATTATTTTGATAATTTCTTCGCTCATAATTATTATATTGGCGAGCTTTATAGTTTTTTCTTGCTCTATTTCGGCAATCTGCTATAACGTGTCCAGGTTTATGGCAGTAATAGCATAAGCGTCTTGTCTCTCTAGACCGATTAATTGCTAGGGCTTCTACTTTTTCTGCCAAATCAACGTATTGGTTATTTTGATATTTTTGGCGTTTTTCGTTCAATAATAATTCAAAATGTTCGGCAACTTCAAATGCCTTAGAATAGTCATCAGGTCTAGCAGCTTTAACTTCGAATTGAAGATCTGGCAAAAGCCTATCTAAAAATTCATCTAGCAATCGCTGCTGTATTGTATTTTCTTCATATCCAATCATTACAGCACGTACTGCGTCATTTAAACGCTGTGCGAATTCAAAAACTCTTTCTCCAGGCGCTTGTTTTATTATAGATAGGGCTTGCCTAGCTACAGTACGAGAATGACCATTTACAAATTTTTCTTGCAGGAAATCTATAGCTTCTTGCAGTGTGGTTGGTTGTGGTACTTTAGCGTCAAGTTCGGCGCGAGCGCGACCTCCCAGGCAAACTTTTAGACGACTTAGCTTTTGTGCTTCATTAAGGGGCGTAATTATTAAATTCAGAGCATCCATAAATCGCTGGAAAAATTTTGAGAATGAACTAGTCGGGTTACCATCATAGACTCCGACCGGGGTCATTAGACCGTTTAAGAATGGGTCTCCAATCATAATTTCAACATTTTCTCCAGTAATGGGTTTCTCAGCTGCTTCTGACGTTTTTTCAGGAGGTTTAGTCTTGAGATTTAGGTCAACCAATTCATTACTTCCGTGACCGTTCCAAGAAAATCCGGACCCTCGAGATCCATTTTCTAAAACCTCTACTTTTGCTTCAAGACTTTCAATTTTATCAATTAATTTACGCGCATTTTTAGTAATAATTTCTGCGATTTTTTGCTCACTTTTAGTTAAATTATTCTCAACTTTTTCCATCCCTTCCTCTAGGATGTTTAGGCGTTGGATTTGCAAAATCTGTTCCTTTTCTAATTCCATATTCTTAGAGCGCAAAAAGACTAATTCATCTTTTAATTCTTTATCATCTAATTTATTTTCAATTTCTTGAAGTTTAGTTTTATTTACTTCATTATCAACTACAAAATTCGATATTTCTTCTTTTACAATTTGTTTTAAATTTCTAAATTGATTTTCTAGTTTTTCAAATTTTCCATCTATTACAGCGTTTATTTTACCAATTTCAGATGAGGACGAATTTGATGGCAAATTTTGTCCTTCAGTAATTTTCGACTCGATTTTACGGAAATTTTTACATACGGCCTCTTCAAAGCTCCGTAATCGAAATAATAAGTTATTCCAATGACGACCTTCTTCAGGCGTAAAAAATTTATTCGCAAAATCTGATCCTGTTGTCTGTGTCTGATTTTTATCCATTTCTAAGATACTCCAGAAAATGTTTTCAGGGGCAGGAAATCCTTTATAGAGCTTTTCTGAGAGTGGAAAATCCAGTTCCTCTTTTTTTTTTAAACTGAGGATTGCACCCAGCAATTTCCTCTACTTTAACCGTTGCACCAAGCAGGAGGATAGAGCACCAAGCAGTCTACCTCGTTTTTTAGCTAATTAATTACGTGGGGTATTTTCCTCCCACAATTTCTCTCAATACTCTACTAAACTAGCTCTTTTCAGGATTAAAATATCCTTCAAACAAATTCTTTTTCTCTCAAGGCTTTTACCCGGATTAAGTGGCACCAAATGAACTAGGTTCAGTTCACTATCAATCGGTTCAGCCTTGGAAATAACTATAGTTCAGTTCAGAAAACAAATATTTATTCAGAGCGTTAAAAGTTTATAATTATTTTATATTGAATTCAAAATAAGTTAAAGAGTTAAATTGCGGGGGAGTATTTATAGGGATTCTTACACAAACATAAATTGTTATTGAGAATAGCTAGGTCAAAAATTAATTATATAAAAGTGAATAACAAAATATATGATAAGGGGTTTTGGGTAAATATTTAGTCGGGAAAACTCAGTAAACCTTTTATAAAATTGGAAGGTCAAGAGTTTATCATTTATTTATTTATTTTTATATTTTGGGAAAAAGATATTTTTTTTTAATTTATTTATTTGCTTATGCGAATGCAGCAATTAATAACTAAATTAATAAATCTCGTATTAACAAAAAATGTAAAAAAATCGTTTAATAAAATAATTAGCCTATTTATTAAAAATTAATTTCAAAAATTTGTTATTTTTTGGTTTCTGATAATTTTTAATTAAAAGAAAAATTTTAATCTGTTAATATGTAGAAGTTAAATTTAATAAAATTTTTTAAAAACATTCTTTAAAAAATACATTTTAAAGGTAAAAGTAATTGGATATAATAAAACAAAAGAATGGTGTGAAGTTAAATTAATTAATAGACAACAACAACAACAAAATAATTTTGCCAAATTAGGCAGTCCAAGTCTTTCAAGTTTAGGAGGGGTTGTTGGGGGTACTGGCTGTTGTAGTTCTTCGTGTTCTTCTATCGGATCGTCTGTAAATTCTGGAGGAAATTATGGGCAACAAATTGGTTGGGTACCCAGTATTTACATTGCCCCCTCTAATTCTATGGACAAACACAGGTTTTTTAAGTAGATATGTAATTATTTTTGGATATTTGATAGTAAGGTCTTTTAGGTGTTAAATTAGTTAGAATATCTTAAACCAACAATTGAAATTTAATTTTGCTCGTATTCTGTACCACATTTTTTTCCTCATATGTAGTACACGTACGGGTTATCCTAAAATTCTTGTTAGGCATAACAAATAACAGAGGTAAAAATAGAAGTAATATCTAAATAGCAATCTGTGAATTTATTTTGAAAAATTTGATAGGAAATTGTGGCCAATTAAAAACATAATCAAAAAAAAGATTATCTTTGGCCATCACAGCTATTTTCAGTCATTACTTTTCTCATTAAAAATTCCCAGTTTTAAGTTTCAGAAAAAAATTTTCTTTAATTTTAGTTGGTATCACGGCAAAATAACAAGAATTGGAGCTGAACAACTTTTAAGTTCTGGAATTAATGGATCTTTTCTAGTTAGAGAATCGGAGACTAATCCTGGACAGTTTTCTATTTCACTTCGGCATGAGGGGACAGTTTACCATTACAGAATTAATTGTGATGAAAATTTGAGGGTTTGGAGAGATTTAAAAAATTTTTTAAATTTAATTGTTTTTAGTTATTTATTACTGATACAGCAAAATTTAAAACACTTGGAGAATTAATTCATCATCATTCGGTGGCCGCTTCTGGATTAATTTGTAAGGAATTAATAACCAAAAATAAATAAAATAATTATTATTTTGTTAATAAATCATACATTTCTTTGTTCCGAGAGTTACTTCCATAGGAAATGTCAAGTGCCTTATATGTTTAGCGTCTTTTTATTAGAGTTTTTGTTATAAATTAACTTATGTCACTGCTTCTAATGGATTTTGGGACTTAAGAATTTTTGAATTAATTAATAAAAACAGTCAAACTAAAAAACTATTAAAATATTTTTCGTTGATTTTCATATTAGGATTTATTTTTAATAAGCTTTGAATATCTACAAAATATTATAATTTCATTTTTCGGTGCCCTTCAATATCCAGTTAATAAACGACAAACTAACATTGGCTCAGGCCATCCAAGCAGCCTTTTCTCTTTATCCCCCACACAACCTGATGAATGGGAAGTAGATAGAGAACAAATTGTAATGAAGAAGAAGCTTGGAATGGGACAATACGGGGATGTTTATGAAGCTTTATGGTTACCTTTTAATCGAACTGTTGCGGTTAAATCTTTAAAGGTTTTTGTGTTTTCATCTTTCTAAAAATATCTAGAATTTCCAGGAAGACCAAATGGCATTACCAGACTTTTTAGCCGAAGCAGCAATATTGAAGGAATTACATCATGAAAATTTAGTTGAATTACTTGGAGTTTGCACTAGAGAAGCTCCCTATTTTATTATTTGTGATTTTATGTCACGCGGAAATCTTTTAGATTTTCTTCGGCAAAGTGAAAAGGAAGATCTTCCTTGTGAGAAACTTTTGCATATGTCAACACAAGTAGCTGCTGGAATGGCTTATTTAGAATCTAGAAATTTTATTCATAGGTAGAAGATTAATTTTAAAATTAACACTTGCTGTTGCTTTTCATTTGACTCTGGCTAATATTCCTTCTATTTAAGTTTCCTTATATCTGACATGTTCTCTTAATGAACATCTTATCTTGACTAGCAATCCGAGAAAACAATTAAAAGTCAAAAGTTTATTCAAATTTAAGAGATTTGGCTGCTAGAAATTGCCTAATAAATGATGATTTTGTTGTCAAAGTTGCCGACTTTGGTCTTGCTAGGTTTATGACTGATGATACCTATACAGCACATGCTGGGGCTAAATTCCCGATAAAATGTGAAAAAATTTTTAATTAAAAATATTTTTATATTTAAAAAATATTTTAGGGACAGCGCCAGAAGGATTGGCATATAACACTTTTAGTACAAAATCTGATGTTTGGGCATTTGGCGTTCTTCTATGGGAGATTTTTAGTTATGGAATGGCACCTTATCCAGGCGTTGAATTAGGGAGTGTTATTGGCCTTCTTGAAAAAAGTTCTTGATTTTTCGATTTCAAAAACATTTAAAATATTTACATAGATTTTCGTTTGGAACGACCAACTGATTGCCCAGATTCCGTTCATCGTTTAATGCTTCAATGTTGGCAATGGTCCCCTTCAGATAGACCCCGTTTTCATAATTTACATAAAAGCCTTTATTCTCTTTTGCAATCTGAAAAAGGCGAAACTACACCTATTGCTGAAAATACTAATTTAATTTTCTCGCCAGAGAGAGGTGAAGAATTGGATATCCCTTGTCATTCATCCTCTTCTTTTTGCCCTTCTCTACAAACAACCTCTTCATTACAAGCAACAAATCAACAACTTGCTTTTGTAGCTGCTTCAGTTGCTAAAAAGAGAGAAGCAAAACAACGTGAAATGGCGGGGGCATGTTCATCAGATCAGGCTAAGTAAGGAGAAATAATTTTTGTAACAAGGGATTTATTATATCTAATACATTGATCATGATACTTTACTGAACAATTCTTCTCTTTATAACTTTACATAAGCTGTTTCACTCCAAACTAACTTAAGTTTTATTCATTTTTAAGAATTTCTGACCCTCTTGGCATCATATCTCCTCGTATACCTAGTACTTCAATTCCATCAAGTAGTGCAGCCTCTCATGCCCATCATCTTTTGCGAGACAGAACAGTATCTATGGGCTGCCGTGCCTCGCAACAAAGACAAGCACGTTCCTCATCTCCAGAACCCCCACCACCACCTCCACGTCCTGATCGAAGAAAAAGGCCTTCTATGGGGGCACAATTAGAACGGACAAGTTTCTCCACCTTTCGGCCATCGGAACCTGCTCAGATGGTAAATTTTAAATTATATTGCGTTAACTAATTATAACAATTCTCAAAAATCCCTTCCAATCAAGATTAAATTCTTAATTTCTAGGTTGGAGGTCCTTCCCCAACAATATTTCATCATTCTCCAAATATTATTCAACTAACTACCGAACCCCCACAATCTTTATCATCCAAAACATTTGCCAAACCATCAATGCCTTCAAATAAAAATCAAAAATTATTTGCTAGACTTCCAACAGTTCAATTCGTTCAAAAGGAAGAAGGGCCTAGATCTGGCAAAAATTTAACAAAATTGAATTTAAGTGGAACTGGGACATTGCCTAGAGGGTTTTCTTTGGATACAACAGTTAAAAGAAGCGGGTCTGAATTGAAATTTCCTGAGCCTTTCGAAAAGAATGAAGAAAAGAATGGACAAGAAAAGGAAGACGATAAATTAAAAAAGCCATTAAAGGAAGAGAAAGAGGAAGATAATAATCAGACTTCTAAGCTTCCTCTACAACACTTAAAAATGAGATTGAAGAAAACTACATCAGAGACTAGTGCTGTTCAATCAACATCTAATAATCAACAGACAGACGAACCGAATAGTTCTAGATTGGTTAGACCAGAACCTAAACCAAGGCGTTCAGTAGATCCAGCAGCTGAATCTTGTTTAAAGAGTAATCAAAAATCAAAATTCGAAAGTTCGAATGCAAGTGAGTAAATTAAGAATTTTAGGTGCCTTTCCTATAGGATCAGAAAATCCCGGAATTTATTTTAACTAAATCGAAACGATCCTTGGTTTTGTGCTATTATCTTAAGTAATAAGATATCTCCTTGCCCACAAAATATTTTTACACTAAATATGTATATCACTATAAGAATATACATCTAACAAATATACCTAGTTATAATATAGGGATGACACATAAATCTCTTATTATTTAGCTACTTCTGGTTCTTCACTTCAAAATATTGATGAAGTAAAGGAAGATAACGAACTTCATGCAAAAATTAAACAATTGCGCCATGTACAGAGAGTTACTGCGGAAGAGGAGGATGATACACCGGAAGGAATTGAGGGAAATTTAGCTGAACAAAGCGAAGAACTAGGGGAAAGTAATTTGGATACAAAAATTGCTAGAATAAAAATTGAAAATGAAAGGTTGGTAGGGATTTTGGGAAATATTTAGAATTAGTTTTAAGTAGTTGATTTTAATATTTTTAAAATTTTAGTCAAAAAATCAACGAAATTTCAAAACAACAACAAATCCAACAACAAAGCAACAAAAAAATTAACACCGAACCACCTCCCAAAATGCGTCATTTAGTCACTCAAAAAGTAACCCCCCTTCAACATCACCGTCCTTTCTCAATGCAAGCAATATCTGAAGGAGTTCAAGAGACTAAGAAAGAAGAGGATAATTCTAGTAAACTTGAAGGAGTTTATTTAACTTCTTCTGTTACTTTTAATCGTCCTCAAAAACTCGAAATTAGCGATAATTTGAATGCAACGGATGAGAAAACAGCAGAATTAACTACCGAAACAAATAAAGTTGAAGTTTCAAAAACTTCTTTAAACACCAAAAAAGACGAAAAAGATTATTCAGTCGCTTCTCCTGTTAAATTCCGTCCATTTTCTACACTTCAAAGGCCTGAAAAACCAAATGATGATAAAATATCCCAAGCCTGTGTCAAACCCAAATGTGTTACTGTTGCCCAACCAAAACTGCCATCACCTGAAAGAGATATTCAACAAATACCGGCAATTAGGCGTTCAGATCCTTCAATGCCCTCTGAAGATAATCAATTAACACCTCAATCTGAACGCAATTCTGCTTCTTCAACAATTCAAAGGCATTTAAATATATTTTTGGGTGATAATGAAAACTCTCCTAGACTTCCCAGAGAATCTTCTCCCTCTCTTTTATCATCAAAAGAACATCATCAAGTTCCTGTACCCGAAGATAATGGACAACAACAGCAAACACCTCCCGTTAGCAAGGATTATCTTAATGAATTACACAGACAATTAAATGGTTTTTAATTTTTAAAAAATATAAGAAGAATTTTATTTAGTTGTTTAAAATAGTTAATTTAACCCCCCCCCCCCCGCCCCTTATGATGATAAAATTAAAGATTTCTGATGCTAAAAAAATAACTCTTTTTCGGTGCCTTAAAATTTAGCTCAAAATTCCATTAAAATAAAGAGTATATAAAATTTAAAAATAGTAATTTTTCTCCTCAGTATTTATGCAAGAAGTTAATCGAAAACCAACAGCTGGAACAGTAGCATTTCTTATCAGAGCTATTGGGCAACAACAGCCAAAAGAAGGGGAAGGTGGCGGTGCTGATCACTTAATTCGTATTAGTGATTTATTACAACAATTTCATCACACATGCACAATTTATGCAGAAAATATTTCTCCACATTCCAAATTTAAATTTAGGTGACTTTTTTAATATTTTAACGTAACTCAAAACGCATTATAAAATTCTTAAAAAATTACTCGACTATTTTGAGAATCTTCAGGACTACATTTAAATCAGAATTTTTTTGGTCATTTCGTTAAATTTCACTTAAGCGCTCATTTAAATATTTTATAAACTTAATACAAACTTCTATTCCCACCAATAATTGCCAAATTTCACCTAAACTTTCTTAAATTTTTTAGAGAATTATTAAGCCGAATGGAGGCAGGTATTCGGCAGCTAAGAACTTTTATTTCAACACCATCTACCTCCCCTTCCATTAATAAATCTATTGGAAATCGCCAAACATCGACAAATATCCCACCTTCACAAACACCCACAACATCTCCCCCAAGCGACCGTCAAGTCCTTGCTGATATGGAAATGCTTGTTAGACAAGTAATGCAATTAGTTAATAGATGAAAATTAAATTATTGAAGATTATTTTATATTAAATTTATAATTATTAACCTTTTTCATAAATTTATTCAGATCAGATAAATAATAATTATATTTGGAATGCATTTATTCTTGGGGGGTTTCAATCACGGATCTTGGAAAGCCTAGGTTTTTGACTCTGCTATAATTTTTTGAATAATATAACAATACTATAATTTTTAAAATTTCAATTTAAAATATTTTTCTAATCGAGGGTTATCCAAAATTAATTAATTTTATCTCCAAATTATTTTAAACATTTCCAAAAATCTTTCTATTACTAAATATCATGCAATAATTATTTTAACAGATTTTATTTTTATAAATATTTTTCTTTAATTTTTATTAAATTTGCCTATTTATTTTTAAGTTTTTAAAATAAATCCATTTAATTAATTATTTCATTTAAAACTTTCCTATTTTTCTCCTTAATTTTTTTACTTGTTTTTCCCTTTCCTAATTAATTTTTCTTTTTTGATTCGAAGCATTTCATTTTTATTTATTTTTCTTTTTTCTTAATTTTCTTATATTTTATTACCGTGACTATAAATAAAATCTCACATAAAAATATTTTTTTTTGTTTTACTTTTTCAAGCAAAACTTTAAATAAAAAAATTATTCTAATAGGTTGCAGTTACCTATTTCTTTGTTTGGGGCGAACTGCAACTTGCTAGAGGAGAATAAACAATTGTTACTATTTACATAGAAATAAAACTTGCTAAAAGTACTTAAATTGCTGTTAATTATATAAAAATAATGATGGAAAAATAATTTTTAAATTTTAAAGATACTTTAAAGTTAAAGCTATTTTTCTCTTCAGAAAGTTGTTTTCTTGTTTTTGAGGAAGTGTTGGTAATGTGTCGTGATTAACTTAATTAAGGACTTGGTTTTATGTATATGAAATGATATTAGCTAAACCCATTGTTAGGAGAGAGCTACTATCATACTATATCAGGAATTGATAATACATATTAGCTATTCAATTCCTGAAGCTATGCAGGAAAGCTATTTATGTAATTCCTAAAGCCCGATTAGTTAAAGATGCTGGAGCGCTCCCATTTTACTAGCTGAAGAAGAGAAATAGCTACATATATCCCGGCTCTGCTTTACTATATTTGCTAATCTAGAATTTTTTTCTATTTTAAATAATTTTTCTACTTATATAATTTATTTATTTTCTCCTCATAATTTTTTTCCAAAACAAATATATAAAATAAAATCTTCCTTTGTATATATTAGTAATTAGTAATTGCCTTTTCTCCCGAAATTCCCAAAAAGTACTTAATCTATTCATTATTTTGTTCATTTTTATAAAGAAAATGTTCATTCACATTATAAGGATATAAAAAGGAATAAAAATCAGAAAAAGAGAGAGAATATATTTATTTATTTAAAATTATTTTTGTTTGATGTCATCATTAATGTCCATCCATTCATTCACTCAATTCGCGCAAATCCTCTTCACACCATTCAAAATATATTTAAAGTAGTTGAGAGAGAGTAGCCTTGTCCTCAATTCAATTTTTATAGTCAAAACATTTTTGTAAAACAACCTTTACTCTCTCAAAATCTCGCTCATTTGAGGTAAAAAGTTTGTGAAAAAAAATTATTTAATAGAGACTAGAGATTATTTTAAATTTTGAATTTTTTACCAATTATGTCATTTAAATATTTAAAATTTTATTCTTTGTATTTTCCAACGTTAAATTGACTTTTTAATTGCTAATATTTATTTAGATAATAGAATAATATACATTAGACCTGAGCCTGTTCCTGGACTCTGAGTTTGATTTATTGACGTCAATAAATGCCTGGGCCTGAACTCTGGGTACATGAAAAACCCAGGCCTTGGTCCAGACCCAGCTCGATCTCTAATATATGTATTCCATCAACACTTCCATTGTATCTCTATAAAGTGGCCAGCGTATCTAATATTCATTACCTTCTCAGAGGATTGCTAAATTTAAGGATTTGTAGTATATTCCAATCATCTAGCCTTTGAGCAAACAAATTATTCACTAAAAATGTTGACAAGATTAAAAAATTTTTGAGATAAAAATAGTTAATCCTTTGTTGTAAGTTTTTACCTTTTAATCAAAACAAAAAATTCATTAATTTAGCTACTGACAAATCGGCTTTTTACGCGCTAATTCCATTCAATTTTCTTTCCTTTTTTAATTACATAATGTATTCCCGAACTTTGTTAGTAATCAACTAAAACATCATTTTTATTTAAATCCTTACAACCACCCTGCTAATTATATACTCCCTAAATAATCTTTAATATATTCTTTTAATTTATTAAAGATTAATTTTCTGTTCTGCTCTTGTGTTCCCACAAAAGTAATTTATTTTTTTTGCGCATTTTATGTCCTTATGATTCTCTTTTAAAGGTAAAATTTGGACAAAATATTTCAATCTTTTTTATTTTACTGCGAAAAACACATAAAAAGAGTAATAAAAACAAAAAACTATTTTTATTTTTAAAGTTAAAAATTTTCTAGAATAATTATTTTTAATATCGTTTTTTATTTTACTTTATAAATATTTAAAATAATCTTACAAAAAAAGTAAAAAAGAATGATAAAAATTAATATATGTTACATTTTATTATTTTCTTTAATTATTGATAAGTAGCTTTTCTCATTTTTCCTAATATTTTTCTTTTCGACTTATTAAACAATCGTGAATATTTAAATTATTAGTTCATTATAACATTTTATATTATCTAAAAATTATTTATTATTTTTCATCAATCATAGCCGTAATTTCTCCTGCTTCAATCGATTTCAACATTTCAAACTTAAGATATATAAAAATTCTTTAGATGTCACAAACTCTACGCTTGACCAACAAATCTTTTAACAAAAAAAGAATTATTAAAGCATTTCTCTCACTTCTCCCAAATATTTGCTTTTCCTTTAAACATTCACACCAACCATAACGTCAATATTTGCTTTTATTTTTGTTGGGGCTATTTTATTGTAAATATTTGTAGTTATATTTAGCTTATGCATTGGTCATTGAAAAACGTTAAAAAGAATTTTACAGGGCTTTTTAGCTATCTGTCAATTCATTGCGCGGCGAAGGATTTTTAAATTAAATTTATCGAGAAAATTATAGAAATGTCTGAGCGCCTGAAGAAGGAATCTTGAAATCTTTAAATCTTGAACATTACTATATTTGCTTTAGATTTAGTGATTTATTTGGAGGTTTTTATTCTGTAAAAAGCATAACACTTGATTCCATAAATTTACTTAAGTTTTCTAAATAGCCCGCACTTTAAAACAGTAAAAATCGAAAATCTGAAGCCGAAAGTTAAGTCCATCTCCACCTTTGCTATTTATATGTTCATATACCTAAATTGTTTATTTATTTTAGCAAAATATTGCATTGACTTAAAGCAATAAAAATAATGTGAAAGCTTTTTTATTTATGTATATTTTGGTTGCGCTATTGGCAGACTTAAAAGCACGGAGATTTCTTTACTCTATTAAAAAGTATTTATTTACTTTAATTTTCCTTCTCACTCATTATTTCCTCCTCCTTCTCCACCTTTTTTAGCTTCCCACATTTTCTCGCCATTTATGTACACATTTTTGTCGATTTATTTTTTTGTGGTTTTGCCTTAATCGAAATAAAATAAATAAAATACCACTGGTTTATTGTTTGTCATTTACTATTTTTAGTCAACAAAAAATGACGGCCACAGAAATTAAATGTTAAAAAAGTTTTCAGCTGGCGATCGATTTAGCTAATGAAGTTAATTTATTTACCTTTTATTAAATCAAAATTCTATTTTCGAAGTTTTGATAATAAAACAATAATCCAATACATAAATAATATTAAATTAAATATTATTTGATATTAAACTTAAGCAGATAAGAATATTTTTGAGAAAAATTTTTTCAGATGCCGATAAATCATTAAATAGGAACAGGGCTATAAGTTGAATTTGATGAAAAAGTTGTCAAAAATCATTCAAAAATATTTTCAATTCTTATTTTATGTATCTCCAATAAGCATATTTTTTACCTGTGAATTACTTCTATTTATTAATTAATTAATTATTATAAAATTTTTATTTTAATAAAAATAAATCAAAAATTTATTTATTAAAATAATTAAATAAAAATCAACATTAATTTTATTTTAATTAAAATACAAGAAAAATGGCAGAAACTTTTTCCTCTTCCCATAATTTACAAATGTCTTCTTCCAAACAATCTTCTTTGTTTGGGTATTCTTCCACAAAAACTTCACCAAATAGCCAACCAAATTCCCCTGCTGATTCAGCAATTGGCACAGCTTCAGATTCAATGCAAAGTCCACCACCAAATAATTTATTTTCTTCTCCAAAACCTCCAATTCCGCTTCCAAGGATTGTTCCTCTACCGTCTCCTCAACCATCATTAAATTCTAAACCTAACACAGGTATTTTTGGAATTGGGAAATATTAAATAAGTAAAGATTTTTGACATACAAATATTTATTTTGTCAAGCATATATGTAGTTATTTAATTCTAAAGGCGGTGCAGTAGGTT